GTGGACAGACGACATAAACAGCGACACTCGTACTCGTCTTGCTCAAAAATTAAGCACTGGGTGACAAAAACATAAAGTTACTCGTAAACTTGAAAAAATATGCAATATGATTCAATATAAAAAGTCTAAAATGTTTCAAGTCGCTCGAGAGCACATTTGACATCATGCAAAGCACGTCACAGACTTTGTTTAACCAGCGGAATTGAATTATAAATTATGTTACGAATCATCGCGTCATCTTGGCTTGCTTCAAATGTTAAATACAACTAAATTATCTTTGTCGTTTGCATCCAGTTGGTATTAGTGAATTTGACATTTATAACGCATTGTTTTATTTGTTGGAAGTTTTGGTTACGAGTACGGATTGTGAATACCCTTGAACTTTTAATTAAAAGTGAGTGACTATCGATTGAATAAATACAACTTAATACTATCTTGGTATATGATATGGAAAGTTATAGTTCACGCCAGCAAAACGTGAATTCATTGTATCAATTTCTAATTTAGGTCTTGGTAGAGTGCCGCCTCTCTTCTCATCTGGACATAGACACACAGCTCCTATCGGCGTAATAAAATTATCATAGTGTTTGATGTGGGCGACGACGCGCCCCACGCCGCCATCAGAGTGTCGTGTCCGTCGCGTCCTTTGAGTGCTGAGTGCGCGTCTGGGGGCGGGGAAAGCAGGGGAGGAGGAGGCGGTGATCCGCCTGAGCAAAAGTGTCGCGGCGTAGGGGCTCACGACGCGGCGGCAGCGGCGGCATGGTCGCCAGCCAGACCGTCGACAATGACATGTACGCGATGCACACGTCGCCCTACCACATGCCCCATCATCACCACCACCACCATCTGCACGCGCACCATGGGGAGTATTACCCGGCCGGCGCGGAGCCGACGGGCGGCGGCGGCAATGGCGGCGCGCCATACTATAGCGTGCCACCGGAGCTCGGCCGGCCGCCCCACATGTGCACCGTGCATGGAGGCGACTACGGTATGTTGAACTGTGAAGGCACAAAAAATAAGTCTTAAGACGCCAGGGAAATACATGAAAATGTACTTAGGGGTTGCTCACTTGTACTTCTATTTTCATTAGTGAGTACAATTGGTTCGGTATTGTTTTGTTGGAATCTCTTTAATTAATTTTTCAGACATACATTACTATAGAGAATTGTGTCTGTCGGTAAGGTAGAGCTCCAATTTATTATTTTTCAATTTTTATCCGCGTTGTAAACTTCTTTCGTAAATAATAATTGTGGGAAAGCCCAATCAAGCTGACGCTCTACTTGAAGCTGATCTCCCAACGAGCAAAGTTCATTTCCGAACGGTTGGAAGCAATTTCCGCGTCATTGCAATGCACGAACGTAACCTGCTTTGGCGGCGACATTTCGCCAAGAAATGTAAAGCTCTCGTCCCAGCACACTGATCCGTGTGCGCGAGTAGAAGTAAAAGTTGGTAATTATTATTAAAAGTAAAGTAAAGTTGCGGCGGGCCGCGAGTAAAAGGTGTTTAATTAAATTTCGCAAAATAGACGATGACGACGCGGGAAAATGTGAGGAAGAGGAAAATGTTGCATTCGACATACACAACACCACGATGCAACGCGCGGCGCGCCCGGCCTGACATGGCCTGACGGGAGTATTAAATAACCAGGAAAAGAAAGAAGCCGCAGACGAAGTGAAGTGAAGTGGATAACAATGAACCAGAAGCGTAATAATTAAATATCGAATGCAATGCGCCGCGCGCCAGCCTAGGAAGTGAGCGAAATGTTAGCTGGCGCATAATTGAAAACGAAACGGTATTCTAATACCTGCTATCGCGGCGCGAAGAAGACAAAGGAATGCGAAACACATGTTGTGCTAATTGTCTACCCGAGAGATAAATTACAGGAAAACACAATTTTATTGTTCAAGAACAAGGAAAGAAACTTGAAAAAGAAAAAAGATTAAAATTCTTCACGTTTTTTATAAAGTAAATATGTTGGTACTTACTTTAAGAACAAGTTATATCTTTTAACATTAAGTTGCTGCCACGAAATCAGCCATTTAGAATGTCTTCGTCTGTTGCTTTGCCAGCTATACATTGCTTTCGACAATTTCGTCTTAAATGTCAATGTCAAATTCATCAAATTGCGGTTTCGCACGAAATTGCCTGAGCGGAAATTTACTCTGGTTCACATTTATTATTTCCATTCCGGAGTTTATTTATTTCGTAAATAGTTTTATGGAAAAATCAATTTCTTATTTATTTTCATTTTTGGCGTATTTCTCATCGATCTCACCAGCATATTTAGTTTTAGAAACTAGTTTATAGTCATTTTGTTGCAGTATAATAACGTGCTTTAAAATTGTCCGCATGTCATGGTTTGAAACGCATGAAATTGTTGAAAATAGTTTAATAGCGAACTTTTTCGCAGCGAAAATTCGCGCTTGTTTTTCTCTAGGCGATGTTTGTATTTTTAGCGGCGGCAGTTCCGTCTGCTCTACTTTTAGAAAATTGTAAATTTAGAAACTATGCAATGCGGACGCCCGGCAACGACCTGCCCATTGTGTTTGGTTTGTTGGATTATAATTGTAAATTGTACGCTCGCGCACACATTTTCAACGTACTTTCATCGGCGCCGCCCAGGTGTATAATTAAAGTATTCACAGTTTCGAGTGGCGTAGTATAATTTTACAATACTTTTCCTTTTTTTCTATTCATATTTAAATTGAGTTTTGTAGTAGTTGCATATTAAACAATTTGTAGTATTTAGGTGAGCTCTATTAAACTAAATTCTCGGTAGTGAGGCTTATATTTTGGCGCCATATTCAGGTGTCAATTTTATTGATTTTGTCTCTTCTGCGTCGGATTTTCATACAACAGTTATTAACATTAAACGAGCTTTGATATTGGTAGTTGATTGCAGCAGAAAATTTGATTAAAGTAGTTTTACGTTCATAGTTGACCCGTGATGGAAATATTGCATTCGATGCGGGAAATGTTAATGCGCACTTTTGAAATTAGGCCAGTTTTAATGTCAAAGCGCATAGAGCTTGAATCGATTTGAATGCAGGCGCGAACAACACCTAAACCTTCACCCACACCGAAAATCCAATGAGTTTGTGTTAATTATTGCGGTGTTTTCGAGCCGTTTACTATTACATTAACCATCGTCGATGCAGTGGAGGGTATGCAGTTTTAAATTCACTTGCACAGTCTATTTTTAAGTTTATTACACTAACAAATATGAATGGAAAATATGGTTAAATCGTATTATCGAAGTACGCTCAAAATAAAATTATCCACTTTGTAACAAAATTTATGATTATTGTCGGCAACAAATTGCAAATATTCGCGCATTACACTTAAAGTAGTGTTTGGAAACTTGTTAAAACGTCGCGTTTGCTACAACAATGTTGCAAACATCTTCGGCTGAGGTGGCGAGTAAATTTGCATATTATAACGATTGTCTGTGGCCGCGTGTGACCCGTCTGTTTGGTGACTTCATAAGTGACCAAACGACAAGTGGCAACTTTCAACTTCGACCAACTAACAGGATACACAAGTCCAAAGTTGCCAGACGCGAAACCCCCGAAGTCACTAAATCATTTCTTGGTCCCCAACTCTAGCCTCAAAGACCAAGTTTGACGCAAGTTTGGTTTTGGATCAAGTTGGATACGCTGCTTTATTCAAGCTTAAGGTAGCTCATGTCGTTGTGAGTTGAGTTGACTTAAGTAAAATCGGAATGAGCATGCGTTGTGAGCTCGCGCGCGTCGAGCTGCGACTAATAAGCTGAAGGTCACCATCCGGTGCGGAGGACAACGGCATCGCGCGTCAAGGCCGTTCGACGACGACCGCGGACGGACGCATGGTATCTGCGTATGAGTATCTTCTCGTGCTTGGCCAATAAAACGCACTTGAGAAGCGCAGAAATGAAAAGAAACCCAATTGGATGTATCTGTATGTGTGTGTAGTGTGTAACTTGTGGGGTCTTTGGGTTTGGTCACCTGCAAATTTTTCCAATGTGTCATACGTAGACTCCTGTATATATTATAGAGCAAGTACTAAATCAAGAATACCAGCAATAAGAATATTTTATTAAAACACATTTGTATATGATATGGCCGCATATTACTTGTTTGATCTTCAAGCCTTTGCCATGAACATCAAATAAATATCAAACCTACTTACTATCCTGCCTTACAACAATCAAGCTCATATATAGTTTATATATCTGCGTGGACTCTTGAGGTTTGATAGCATATAAATATTTGAATTTTATATTATAAATATTCGTTTTGATATCTCTTGCTGGCTGATCATTAGTCGCCATCGGGCGGTCTCTTTTGAGCGTTTCCGAGAAATCCTGTATTGCTCCAAGTCTCTTATATGTCGCCCGTTTGTTCGTTTAGACTTGTGGCTTAAGTCAGCTCTTGGCTTGACTGGTCTTGACTTAAGTCGTATATCAACGGTCATTTTGCATTTGCATTAGCTGTATTCGCAGTGTAGTAGTGTTCACGTGGTGAATGTGGCGACCGCCCGCCTCGGCGTGATTCATGCGACCAATGTTCAAATTTTACGCGTGGCACTTAAGCAACTTGACTTACTTATTAAAGATACCTGCTTATTGAAGATGACATCAATCAATTTACATCTTGATTGCTGATGCTTTTTTGTTGCTAGATATATTCTAACTAGATTTAAAGAAATCTAATTTTATTATTTACTCAAGTGATTTGAAACACCTTGTAAGTTGTAAGAATAAGCATTCTTCTATTCATGCAACGAGGTGTGTGAGGAATAACAATTAACGAACGCTGGTAAATCCGTTATTATTGTTTTACAATTGAAATTGAGCACGTTAGCTACGAGAATTTATCATGCTTTATAAAAATATTTGCTAAATGACTGAGAAGCAAGTTAAGTTAAAGTTTCGGATAAATAACGATGTTTGTCTGTGGTGTAAACGATGTTTTGTGAATTGATTCGATAAATAAACAATTGTTTGTGTTCGTTTATTCTAGGACCAGTGACGGTACCGATGGTGTCGACGAACTCGTCGCCGCCGATCGCGATGCCCGTCCAGGTGCCGCCCGGCCATATCGTGCAGCAGATCGTCGACGAGAGCGGCACTCTGCGGCACGTCATCCTCTCGCCGCAGCATCCCGCCCTCGTGCCGCTCACCTCGCACAATCCGCCACATTACGTAAGTTAATTTTATATATTTAATCATTAAAACCCTAAAAACTCCATTTTGATAGTTTATAATATAACACTAGCGCCATCTAGGTACCTAAAGACATACTTAACATATTTTATAAATTCATCGTCGGCGATCTATTGAAAGTGCGCCAAAGTTAGAAACTTGTCGAATAGAAATTTACTTAAACTCTTAAATTTCTAAGTGATTTCTTTTCAAGTTTAAGTTCCATCCAAGTTGATGAGTTTACAATGGAATCGCTGAACCGTGCGAGGATATCTCTTTGCGTCCGAATTTTTTATTCTCGGAAAGTTCCATTCCACTCTCGTATCTGCTGCGTTCCGGTGCCGGTAACAGCCGGTAAATGTCGGCAAACTGGGATAATACGCGCGCGATATCAACTCTCGCTTCTCGGTTCTCCATTCTTGAATGACGGCGCAGACGACTTAAAAACAACCGCAACGTTTAGATGTAGGTGGTATAGTTTTCTGTGTGTATGAGTATGTCGAAATCTTTTCCGAATCGCAGATCACGGATTGTGAATCGTCTTTTGAAATCGCGAACCGCGAACGCGCGGTACCTCTCTAATTCTCTGGAGTGTGGTGTTTGTTAAACCCGACTCGCCTGAGCACCTCGCTATCATTTTGTTCTGGTTTGTGCTGGCAGATTTAAGTTGGGTCGATCTTAAATTTGAACTCAAATGGGGCCTGCGTTGGGTGACATTGAAAGTTTTAGTTTGTGGAAACTCTAAATAGAAAAGATGTATCACTTGATTTTAAGCTTTTAGCACTTAGCATGTAACTAGGAAAACAAATACACCGTGTAAAAACACACATAACGTGATGATTATAGCCGGAAAAATTAAAAGCTTGCGCAAACATTTTTAATTTTAAATTTATGTTAATTTTACGCTAGTTTAGAATTTTAAAGTGAACAGTTCGGTGTTTTTAAGCTTCCGGGAAGAAAAAATGAGTCATAGACTAGTTTAAGTTGACATGGGTCAACAATGTTCACATTCCAAACGGTGGTCAGAAAGAACTGTCTTTCAAGGTGTTTTGCGTCACGCTTCAAATATTTTGGTAACATCCGGAATTTAAAATCGCATTTCAAGTACACTATGTGTCCCTCGCCGTAATTTTCTACACTTTTCTTCGTATTATTATTTTTCTGCATATTGGAGAATCTCATGAAGTACTGGAATCGTCTTCGTTGTCGACGGTTGTCGTTCGTTTTTGCATTCGGGTGCGATTTGCATATAGATGAATTCTCTTTCCCGGCTTGGCGGCCGCTTTGACTTTCTGCAAGGGTCTGTGCGCGCTTGTGTGTGGTTGGCATTCCTGGCTGTCGACGGCGGCCATTCACCATTATGTCAATTTCAATGCCGCCGTTGTCTCTCGCGCTGAATATAATAACGGCGAACATCTTGGACTAATGCGAATGTGCCAATGCGCGACGCTCACAGCGAAATATCTTCCGGAGGGTTTCAGTCAGCTGAAGCTAGTTGCCATGACATGCTATAAATTGTGTCCTGCCATGTTTAGTTAAGCATACTAATCATGATGACGGCTGTGGTTACCCATATTTCCAACTTTGTCAATGAACTGTTACGAAATCCATAACTTTTCTTGTGTTTTTCTTTATTTTTGATTTTTGTATTTTGTTGGTTGCCTGCCATCATTAAGGAATTGCTCAAATTTGCCCAAATTTAGATTCCTTTTGGTTGATATCTATTTGATATTATTGAACAAATGATCGTGCTCGGTTCAGAGTCGGTGTGTACCAAAGCAATGCTGAAGCTCTCACAATCCGACAAACCGAACCGAACCGCACCGAGAAAGTCAGACATCGGGGAGGTGATTGACCAGGCGCATTATTGCCGCGAGGCACGACTCGCGCGCTCGCGAGAGCAAAGAATGTTCTCATTGGGCGCCGGCCGACTTGCCGACTCTTTTGCTCTTTAACACACTTTGGAGGAGAAATATTTCGATACGTACGTACGCTAGCATACATTCTACATCTACATTCTAGAAACGAAGACGCCATCCGACTCACGTAACTGGCAACCGGCAGAGTAAACAACATTGTTGGTGCGTCGTGAAGGAACTAACGAAAGAAACTCGCCCATATAATATGATTTTGACCAGGAAACAGACGAGAAGTAATCGTTTTGTTAATAAATTGAACGTTTTGATGCCCAACTGGAGGAGGAGTAGGTATGATTTGAAATCATACGGTTGCGGTGTAAATGTAAATATAATACGCACGAAGTGAATGCTGTCTAACTGTGTGAAGGCAGCACTAAACATGAAGGACGAAGAACGGATTGTAAATTCTTGCGTTTACACGACGTCGAGAGATGATCGCACATTAAGTACGAGATGAAGTGGAACCAATCACTTTTTCATTTCTTTTGAATATTTCAGCTATGCAATCTGTGAATATCTCAGTTATTATTCACAACAAACACGTATTTGGTTGCCTGGATTTGAACTTGCTGCTTATTAGTTTATGAACTTTCTAAATGCATCGGCACTCACAACAATAACATCAATTTTATGTAGAAATTTGCCATTCTTTAAAGGCACGACACCAAATGAATGCCTTTTGCTGCTTGTTAATTAAGAAGGAAGTAGGGCCTTCCCGCAGTCAGCTAACGTGCAATGAGTCTGTGGGTCTGAATAAACCGACCGGAAGTTTCTGTGTCTTCTGACCTGGGCGGGCATTCAAGTCACCGCCGGAAGTTTGATCAAATGCTGTTTTATCACTCACGTTTTCGGAACGTTATTCAATTTGTTCAATTAACGAGAGTACGACTGGAAGTATAGCGCCATCTACATTAATTCGTGTTTTGACATGTAATAAAGCATAATTTATCATTTTGGCAGATGAATGTTAAAATGGATTAACAATGCGGAAGCGTGCTAATATTATTCTTATCTAGAATCATTGTTTGAGGACGCGCTGCCTGTTGATGACATTTTTGCATGTTGTCATGTGAATGTCGTGTGCCATTCACGCATATTTTTATTTATATTTCACGGTGTAATCAAATCTACCAATATGGATATTTTGCTTGTTTAAATTTAATGTGATTATTATTTCCTTGCTCGCTTTTTGATAGTTTACTTTTTCCGTTGTGATTTTTCTGCTTCGTGTTGGTTTGCTCTGATCTGATATGCTCATCATGCGCTTACACATACGCAGACGACACGTTCGTGTTTGCTTAAAATTTGTATATGCGAGATAGCGACATCCGCAATTACGTACAATTATAAAGCGTTGTATATCTAAAATTACATCCTGCGTGCCGACAGTGCCTGACTTCGGGACCGATCGGGTGACCGGCAACAACTATTTTTTACGACAAATAATTACTCGAATTACGCCTTCTTCTGATTAAAATATTAGCTAATTATTGAAAAATGCGCGGGAGTTTTTTTTTTTTTTTTTTGAGAATAAAACTGCCGAAATTTATTGATAAAATTATAGATTAAATTTAATTGTAGGTATTGTGTTACGATTTTAAATTTTGTGGACATTGGTTTGTTCAAATTATATTGCGTTTTTTTTTGTTTATATAATCTGGTTATATATTAATTTTCATTTTTCATTTTTTTTCAAGTTCCGCTTTTGTTGTAATTTTATTTGTATTTTGAAATTATTGCCTAATTAGTATTTTCAAACGGTTTCAAATTATTTTGGTATTTTTACTTTCCGGCCAATACAGTTCAATAAATACTACAAATATTCTTCAATGTCGCAGATAAAACATGTATACTTTTTTGTTTGATTTTTTTACGACAGGTTTGCCTTGCATACTTTCAAAAATGATTAATTACAGTGATGAATTGTAACCCTAAGCATCTTTTCCGCTTGAAACGATACGATTGTTTATCGAACGCTCTAATATTTGAGAACATTAAGTACCCGCCGTGCTTGTTTAACGGTTCCGCTAAAATTGTTTATGTATTTCGCGTTCGGAGATGGTTAAAAATAGATATTATTAATCACTAATGTTTATACCACTTGGTTTTACATAGTTTAATATTATGTTTTCTAGGTTTCTTTTATCCAAAGAAAAATATAAATCCTGATTCAAAATTCAACAAGTAAAATGTGTTACAATTTATAACCGGATATTTGAAAATCCATGTCGTTTGTTTGTGCTTTTTTTGCTTATGCAAGCACGTACAATCATGCACCATGATGTTATGACGCTTCGATAAGATATAATTCACATGACTAACTAATATATTCAATAGCAATTGAATTTTAAAAGTGCAATGTGCACATTTCGCTTCTATTACGCTATTTCTCAGAATCATAAAATGATTTACTGGTGCTACATCCTGAATAATACATTCAAGTTTTGATAACAAATATAGAAAATAAATTAAATTTACTATTTTATTTCAATGTCAAATTATTGATCAGTACAAAAATTAAAACATAATAAAAATGCGTAATTTGTACCTATTGTTTCATTGTTTATGATACGTTTGTTTTGTTTCCACTTTTTGCGTGTAATTCAACTCTCAGTTGAGACGGTAACATTAACCGGCTATTGATTGCCACGGCTTTTATCTCTGTGACGACGGCGTTGTTATCAGTTCTATAGTTGCGCTCGCACATACACGGTCGCCACGTACGATTAACGTCACATAAGTTGTGCCACCGAATGCCATACTCACCGACTCAGTTTCGAATCAGCCGGCAGTCAAACCGAACGTGGTGTTTTCGCAAACATTTCACGGTGAAACATATGTTCCAATTTGCGGGACCAAAATGGAAGCTGAAAAGAGTGTTCAATCCGATCAGACGGAACAAGATAGCTTGAATAAACAACAAACGACTATTACTATCACATATAAACGTGCTAATCCAACATCTACATCGGTATACACGTGTTTTGCTGGTATTTTGAAGTAGTATTATTATTAACTATTTGTTTGTATTGTTTACAGGGTGCTGGCCCACCAAACGGCACCAGCCATCCGCCGCAAACCTACCATTATACAATGCCGCCCAACTTCGCCTCGCACCATCCGCACTTTCACTCGAACATGCCCCGGGCGGTGGCGGCGCAACGCATCCTATGCACCAGCCACTCTCGGCATCCGGACACTCACCACCGCCAGCATTCTGCAAAGATGAACGCTCGCAACGGCAATACATAAAACTGAAGAAGAAACAGCTGGACAAACAGCAGAAGTCGGTCGACAGCATCGGCGGTCGCAAAGAACTCGTCAATGGCATCAAACGCGTAAAAGATAAGGGAATGAACAGTGTTGGTACCTCTGAAGATGGCGAGGAGAGTAGCAGTCTGCAGGATGATGATGATTCTGCGCATATTACTGATATTTTGTCGTCTGTAGAGGCACCCAAGGTAAATTTTGTTTACAACGTCATGATTTTTATAATGATTTATTATAAACGGTATAATTTTGTAATTTAGGTGTCTGAATTGACCTCAAGGAGTGCCTTGCTGCAATGGGCGGCACCGCGACGTCTCTCGAAGCGTCCAGCAATGACAGCCACGAGCTGGACATCCCCGAGAACGACTTGCGCTACGAGGTGCTACTCAGTGACAAAAGTAAAGAAATGAAATACAAGTCAATCTACAGTGGAACATCGCTCTCATGCCGCATCGAAGATTTGCGGCCTGGATTAGAGTACTCCGTGTGTCTACAGGTGCATTTTGACGAACTGCAAGGCTCAGCATCCGATCCGCTCAAATTTACCACGCCCGCCTGTGAACCAGACGCGCCTGCTCCACCCAAGCTCATCTCGCGTACAAAGAGCACACTGCAACTACGCTGGAACGCAACGACGGCGAACGGCTCGCCCATCTTGCATTACATCCTCGAATACGACGAGGGTAAAGGCGGTGATTTTGTCGAATTGTATAAGTCGCGTGGCAACCAGCATTCTCTGCAGAAGCTCACCGCAGCGACGCCGTACAAGTTTCGACTTTCAGCCGTCAATGATATTGGACGCAGTCAATACAGTGATGTGGTGGTGTATGAAACGTCGGAGAACGCGCCGACACAGCCGTCGCCACCTCAACTTGATCGGGCCGACATCCAGGCCCTGCACCTTTCGTGGGCACGTCGGCCCATGGACGACCAGTTCATTCTTGCGATGGACACATCCGACTATGGTTATATGCCAGTCTATAATGGACAGGAGACCAAACACTCCGCTGTTAGTCTGAAGCAATTTACGAATTATAAATTTAGGTAAGAGAGTAATTTACTACATATTGAAATGAATCCTAATATTTAATTCTAATTATGTTTAGATTGCGAACGAAAAATGACGGCGGTCTTTCCGAATGGTCGGAAGAAGTAATCTTCCAGACACTTCCAGATAGGCCTGCGAAACCCTCCAATCCGGTGGTCAAGGGCAAGATCCACGCACGCTCCTTTCGGTTAAAGTGGGATCCACCTATTGACACTGGCGGACCACCTGTGACCAAGTATATTCTTGAGATGAGCTCTAGCGGCGGCTATGTGACGTGCTACGGTGGCGCCGACCCGGAGGCGAACTGTGATAAACTAACACCGGGCACGACCTACCAGCTGCGTGTGTGCTGTGAGAGCGCTGGCGGCCGTAGCAACTACTCCGACCTGTGTACGGTCACGACGGAGGCTATTTGCCCAGGAAGGTGCGCACCTATCCGCCTAGCGGGAAAACCGCGTGCGACCGGACTTACCTTACGGATATCCGAGCCTGACTATGACGGCGGAGCTCCTGTGCTTGAGTACGAGGTTGAGATGACTGCTCCTGATCAAAGCAAAACTTTGGTACATAAGAGCAAAGATACCGAATGTAATGTTGAGGGTCTTTACCTGGCAGTAGATATGTATTCACAGCTCGTGCTTTGAATAGAGTCGGAGCGGGCGAGTGGGCTGAGGAAGCATCATTAATGAGTGGTGCCGCTCCACCTGAAGCTTGTGCTCAGCCCACGGCAACATGCAGGTCTTCAACGCACGTGTTTGTCCAATGGAGTGCACCAGCTACGAACGGTGCTTCTATATCGGAGTACCGTCTGGAAATGGGGTCCAACGGCACTGCGGACGATCAATTCACATTGATTTATCAAGGCGAGAGTACCTCCTACGATGCGAAAAATCTCACCCCTTTCACAACGTACTATTTCCGCGTTCAGGCGGCTAATTCCGCCGGTTATGGCTTGTATTCACCCATCGCGGCTACCATCACACCAGCCGCGCCTCCTGCTCAGATCCAAAACATCCGACACACTTCCACACCAACCTCTATCGCCTTGTCGTGGCTTGAGCCCTCGTCCAATGGCACACCCATTTCGGAATATATCATAGAAGTGGCCGATCAGGTAATCCACACGGAAGAACCAATAACCAAGTATGTCATAGAAGACCTTCAGCCGGAGACTTCGTACAAAATTAAACTACGCGCTGTGAATTCTGAGGGTATGGGTCCCCAGTCATCTACTCTGAGAGTGGCAACTGCGAAGTTGCCGCCTGCACCTCCTAAGCTTGAATGTATTGGCGTTGGACACAATTGTTTAAAACTTAAGTGGGGCGAAGGGAAGAATCCCGAATACACTACGTTTATCATCGAAATGGAGAGTCCTCGCGCTTATGATTACCAAACCGTTTTCAAAGGCACTGCATTCACGTACAAAGTGAACAAATTACAAGAAGCGACTACGTATAAATTTAGGATTTGCGCATGTAACGATGCCGGCGAGGGAGATTATTCGGATGATTATGAATTCATGACGAATCTAGCTCCACCGGCAGCAATCAAGCCTCCGAAAATTATCGATGTCGATCAGAATAGTTGTTCCGTGGAATGGATGCCGTCGAGGAACGCGAATCCAGATCCGATCGAATATTGCGTTCAGTTGTCTAGGCTTAAAGATCAACAATATAAAGAAGTATGCTCTTTAACTCGGAATTTGTCTCGCTTATATTATTGTTTGCGTTTTGTTATAGGTTTATAAAGGTCCGGACACTAGATGCACTCTGGAACGCCTTGATGCCGGGTGTGAGTATGCAGTGCGCATATGTCCCATTCGTAAGACGCAGGATGCTGATCTCGCCGGGCCCTTTACGCCATTTGCAAAGTTTTCGACTACAGCAGTTGAAACCATCTCGACGCAACGCATCGTAGCCCACACGAGTGGCACACCTACACATCATCGCCACAAAGCTTCGGCCAAGAGCCAGCTTCCAGCTCTCTGGCAGCGCTACAAGGAACCGCTGTCTATTCTTAAGTATCCGATCATCGTCGGCATTTTGGTCGTCTTCATCTTGTTCCTGTGTGTGTTATTTTTTACATAGGTGCAATTAATTCGCGTCAATGCAAACGACAAGGAATAAGAACGAAATCTGAACACACACACTCACACATTCAAATATACAACTGCATTGATTCTGAATTACGCGGAATAACCAGAGAAAATATAGTCGTACCTGCTTTAAAATGAGAAAAAACTTGAACACTAAAATGTTGTTCAATCCAAATCAAATTATTTTTTATTTAATAAGCTAAGAGAGTAAGATAAGACAAATAGCTATATATTTTGTATGATATGTTTTGTTTGTTGATTGTTTCTTTACTTGTTTCTGGTTATTTGCGGCGGACAGGAGAAATTTTGAGTACCGGGAAAGACAAGTGACATAATCGCATTCCAAATGATTCGCAACAAAAATGCTACGAAAATTTGAAGCTTGAAACGAAACCACACGAGATTGCGACGTGCAGATTCTTAAGTATTATATTATAGTACAGGGCTTAAATTTTATCATTATTTTTTATTAAATATTGAATATATTATATATAAAGGCAGATTATATATTGAAATATAAATAGATATATACATATAGAGGACCAAAGCTACAGTTTTGGTATTTTTATACGTGTTTTTCCGTACTCAGCCTGGTGCTAGTGAAAATTAAACTTGAGAGTCGAGTATGGACTAGAATTGTCAAACTGAGAACCGAATGCAGAGGCAAAACTAAAACGTTTGAAGAACTGGGGTTCGCCTGTTATATACGAGTATATTTTATTTTTAATCTCGATCACACGAGCGCGTTCCGCGAACGTGCATTGTTATTCCAGTCATCTGTATATTTATATTATACATTCATACATATTTTTATAGCAAAGTTATATTGATAGTTGTTTAAGAATGTATTTTTATTGCAAAACGGGCGCTGAGCAAGGCGGACAAAATGTGTTCGAATTTTGAACGGAATGCGATGCGATCGTGGAGGAAGTAGATAGATAATTTAGGCCTACGAAAGGGGTTTGCGGATACATCGTGTATTGATTTGCATTTTCTTGTATTCCAAGATATAGGATGTGTTTGTGCAATAGAAGCGAAACCTGATAAGGAAACCAAGAATAATGTTCAACATGTTTGTTTCGTTCTCGATCAGATATTTTTTTCGAGCGAGTCAATGATGATTGTCTCACGCATTTACTATATACAAAACTAAAACCGAGAATGAAAACACAACTAAACACTAAAATTTAATGAAAGTAAAAACTATTTATGTATAAATGTAAATTTATATGTATCTTTATAAGGTTGAAGGTATTATATAAGTAATTATCTCTAATCGTATGAATATTTAATGAAATATGTTGACTACGAATTCAAGCACTTCTTTGAGAAGTGTTTCACTTAAAAGACGCAAAAAATTGACGAATGATTGCAAAAGCATTTCGTTTAGGAAAAATGTATAAACTACACTAACGCATTCAAAACTGCAACAAAAACGTGAATATGGTATATGCATCGATGAATTTTAGGCAATGTGTTAATCGACGATTGGCTGAAAATGGTCCTATCTAGTTTAATTTATGTACATGATGAAACTGAGATGCAATTATTGTAAATTTTGGCGTTCGAATCAAAATAGGAGGAGCGAATAATTAATCTCTAACATTGGAGTAACATGATGGAAAATTAGTTTTAATGAAATCTAATCAATTACTTTAAAGACTCTTGGATAAACAGAAAAGAAATGAAATATGTGAATATATGCAAGATGGAGATAAAAATTAATTATATTAAGCGTGTCGCCTCCGGAACACGCCACAAAGATATAAATATAGATATATTATATATTATAAAAATAAATCAATTATATTTTATGTAAAACAAATTGATTGTTCAATCATTTTTGTAACACTCATTTGCTTTATTATTCCCACATTTATCTGCGGTCGAATTTCAACCATTTAGATTTCATTTCCCAACATAGTCGACTTGTTTTGTTAATGCTTCAGAATACTCGTATACGAGTATTCGTGTTTTGTTGATGCTTCAGAATACTCGTATACGAGTATTCGTGTTTTGTAGTTCGTCTTTATCTGTGCAGGTAAATAATCTTTTAGGCACGTTGGTGGGGTGTATAGCGTCGAACGTTCGTTCAATCGCCAGTTTGTTTACGTTCATATCTCGTGGCACGTCGTGTTTCTTGAGACTTTACAATTAAAGTATAATAATACCGATGTGAATTAGCGGGCTGACTGTTAATAAAAACGAAATTTTGTATCTTATTAATGTTCATGAGTTTGGTGCCGGTTATCATCGGAGTTGCTAGTTTTTCCGGGAATTACATTGTTCTCAGTATATACAATCAAACCATTTGTGTCATCAGCAATGGAAATCCCTCCATCGCCAGGATTTAGTTGCATCATCCAGTACTGGTTTCTGGAGTACGGTAAGTGCATGGACCAACCCTGTGTCTTCCAGTTCTTTCTCTTCCTCCGTCAAGAGGCTATATTAGTATCTGTAGACCATCTTTTAATTGTGTTCACCCATCAAGCAAATTGAAACAACCGCTCGAAATATGCCATGTTCTATCGCTACATCCTATACACAATGCGCAGTATTAGTGTTTGTACGTAAACAATTCTTTTGGTCTTGTTCGGCGAGCGTATCGCAGTGGCAATAGTGACCTCGTGCAGTCGTATTCACAGAGCGTGCCATTTCAGTCACCGGATCTTCATCGCGACTTGTTTTCTTTCGATAAATAATAGTTAAGAAAATCAATTAATATGGAATAAACCACCGAATGTGTTTTTGAAAGCGGCAGTGAATGGTGTTTTGTTAGTGAAATAGCACACGCGGAATCTATCATAAATGAAACGTTGGCTCATCTGTACGCGTTTGAGGTTCCGTCGGCCGTCGGTAAAGGTTCTTCGGCTGTGAAATTAGACAGTAATGTACATTGGAATAAAACCAATCGCGTTGATTATTAAGTACCTAATATACGAGTAAAAGCTACCACGTAAGTAAAATTAATCGTAACATACTTCCAACACGGATTGTACTTATCACAAGTTTTATACGACATCGTGGCATCAATTCGTTTGTTGAATAATGTGCAAATTTTTGTTTTCGCTATGTACGTCTATACTAAATGTTTGTTCAGATAATTACTTGTTCACCATATTACTCGTTTACCGACAACAATGACATACCATAGACTGGTTTGAATATCTGACGGCATTTCAACATCAATCAATTATAAGGATACGTATTATGATCCTACGAGTATCGGTTGCATCTTACTTCACTCAATTTAGCGAGTACTTAATTGCAATTTAATAATTTGTAATTCTTAATTTCTTAATCTTAATATATTCTTTTAATCTTAAGTTACTGCTCTTAATAAATTGTCCCATGTTTTTGGTTTGATTGTAGGTATGTATAGACATATTTGTTTTCTCTTTGTGAAGTTCTGCCCTTGAGTAAGATCACGTGAATAATAGAATATCTTTTGCACGTCGGGAGGAGAAAGGTCTTTCCATCTTGTATTTTTGTGTTTGCTTTTAATACTGGTTGTTTTCGCTTTTTCTAACATCATATTGTATTGCTTTCAATAAGCGCACGTGGAAAATGGGCTCTACTTATATTTTAAGCTTTTTTAAAATTTGAGTAGTTATTTTTTTAAACATCCTGTATCGTAATTATCTTTAACATCCGTAGAAACTGAGATTTACTTGTTGTTGTTTTATTTTCCTTTTCTAACTGCTTGCTTTTCAGGATTTTCAAAACTTACGGTGGAAAACTAGGTCATATTCGCAAACACTTTACAATATGTTAGAGCAATACGTAACTAGGAGCGAACCCATCACAATATTTTAGTTGTTTTATTTTTGATATGAAAGAGCAAGCGTCCTTTTTAAAATGCATCCTTGAAACCTTGCAATTTCAGTCCTAACTTTTGCCTCAAATGGCCACGAAAGTTTGCTCTTTTTTAGCATTTTTCAAAACTTACAGGGGAAAAGTGGTCATATCTCTCGCAAACCCTTCACCAATGGTTAGTTGTTTCTTCTTTTATATGATAAAACAAGAGTCGTTTTCAAGATGCACACTTGAAACCTTACACAATTTCGGTCCTGAACTGTTTGAAATGGCCGCAAAGTTTGTTCTTTTAGCATGTTTTTAAGACTTGCGGTTGAAAACCGGTCATATTTAGGAAAATTCTTATTTTTAATAGTTTTGTAATACTTGGGTTAAAGGTCAATTTTGCAGTAAACACGCGTTTTGGTACACTCGGTGAATTTAGTTTTGTCCGTGTTTATTTTTCAACATCTTCGCGAACGTAAACAACTGTTATCTTGAGCGAGTTTACACCGACGAGTGTTGCACTGATGCATAGAAATTATTTAACATTTACTGTATATTTCTGCGTGTTTGTATCCAATATATTAGAGATAATTGCTTTATTAAAATATTAATAGGTAGATATCATATTTAACTTATCGCCGAACGATATGTTTTGTCTCAGCCTTATTTTAAGAGACTAATGCGCAATGTTTTAACTCTCATTTCTAACAGTGAATGTAAACTAAATTCGTGTTTTTCTCTCAATTTTATTACATCCCAAAACAAATCAATTCATTTCTTACGCCGGGAAATATTGAAAGTAAAAGTAGATTTCATTATTTATGTCGGTTACTTTAACATTGTGAAATTTCAGTTCTTCAGGTCTTCTCAACTACGTGTTTATCAGTACGCTTGTGTATAAACAACTTTTTGTTCGACTGCCGCGTGTTACCGCGACGTATCTGCCTTGTAGCTGGTTACGTGCAGCGCACACGGCAGTCGTTTCACCGCGTGGTCTCCAGGCGTGTCTCTCTAATCGCCACGCGTTTTGAGTTAATTGGTTTAATCGTAGTGTATTCTTTCGGCCATCAGCAAAAAATTGGCACATGTGGGTGTTTTATGTGATGATTTGTGGTGGTTAGAGTCTTCTTAAGTGCGAAATAAGTATCCGTTAATCGATGCGCGAGGTTTATGTTGATAGAATAAATTCCAGGGTAGAAAATCTCATCATTGCTTAGGTAGGTGTGTAATTAATTTTTTTTTCACGGTTTAACTTAAATTGCTTATTAAATTTATTAATTTTTAATATTAATTTTCCGTGTACCTATACGATAATCTTGCTAATTACAAACACGTGGTTGCATTTTTATAAGAATTCCTAGTCCCGTTTCTAAAAATAACATGCATGATTTAATTATTACAACCACTGTTTTTAAAATTATGTGAGGATTATTAAAATGACAATATTCATCTAGTCGACCACGTTCATCTTGCCGTCCGCCGTCGGCTCGGTTGTCTTTTCACATGAACGACTTTACTCGTAATCGAAATGCACTCGTTAGCATCATTAAATTAAGAAGATTCTAGTTGTCCTAATAAAATCTGAATAGTTTTTCGTTTTCGTAGTTTGCGAATATATACAAAGAAATAGTTATTTTAAAAGTATTTGCCGACTATTTTGTTACGCGCCGTCGCTTGTCGTCTGCTGATTTGGATGTCTTCCGCCGGATATTCTATCAATTTCTGATGATGCTTCACCCGTAGGTTATCTTATGCAGTTGATGTTATCATCAAATAATACATTTAAATCCAATAAGTATATTAAAATGCAAGTGTTTTATTTTCATAGCACCTTTTTGTTCAATTTTATATTAAAATATTGTTGTTTCTTTGTAAATTTCCCTCTTCATGTTATGAATTTGTAGTTTCTAAAATTTTCTTTTTTCAACACCCTGTATATGTTTTCCTAACAGCACGTAGAAAATTGCTTTTGTTTGTCAGTTATGAGTTTTCCCTGTTTCCAATTTTCTTCAGATTTTCCTTATGAAACGCTCTGTATATTCGTTTTTTGTGCCCGTGAAAATGATGCTGCAGCTGTTGTTTTTAGGTTTTTCTTCTTTGCACTTTAAATTTTCTTTTTGTAACACTCTGTATATTAATTTCCTTAATCATCGGATGTAAATCATGTAATATTTGTAGTGTTTGAATATTTTTCTTTTTGTATTTTAAATTTTCTTTTTGTAACACCCTGTATATTTGTTTCCATTTCAATCACCTAGAAAAATTGGCTATTTGCTAATTTCATTATCCCGGTAGTACAAAGTAGTACTTGCTTGCATGTGCGCGGCTATGCTGGTCGAAAGTCCTGTTTCAATATGGCGACATGTATTCTGTTGACTTGTAAAATCTAAACTTGTATGCTATTGTTAATAAAGAAATAGTATGATATATTTACTTCTTTGATTTGTATACCCCTTCTATCATTTCAGGCACAGATCTCTAGGAGAGTTCCCTCTCTCAGGTAATGATCCCCACTATAAAAATTGTTAAGGTATCCTCTGTGATTTATGTGCTCCTTCTTTCATTTCAGCTACAGGTCAGAACTTGTAAGAATATTTTTAAGTGTCACCTCTCTTGAGGCGACTTAAAACTTAGAAATATTTGAACAATACCTTATAAGGATTGTCCTTATAAGGAGTTCCCTCTCTCTGGGGGTAATCCCCTACCATAAAAATTGTTGATATGCCTGAGTATTTCGGGGATGAAGCGCAGAGACATCGTAGCTGTAGGATGGGCCGGGAGCAATGGACGGATCGAAGCAGTAGGCTGTCTTATAACGACACGTACCAAAAAATTTAAAAATCTGAGATCCTCCCTTGTTCTCTCTTTCTTCTATCTACTCCTTCTTCTCTACTCTACTTTCTGTTTCTCTTCCTTCTATCTTTTCTCTGCTACTCCACTCCTCCCTTCCTCTTCTTCAATTTCACTGCTCCCGCTCCTCCAACTTACTACTATTTTATTTCTCTTATTGCTCTCATTGCCTTC